TAGTTCCACCATTTGTGGTTTAGTCCAGGAGACATCTGCCTCAAGCCTGTTCAATTCACTCACATGCATACAACTTTGTTTATAATGCCTTCTTAGAGCTCAGACTTTCCATAGAAGACAACCTTCTCTCTTCCTGAAATAGGTCCTTTAGAAATGCTTTTAGTAGCCAGGCATAGTGGTGCATGCCTGTAGTCCAGGTACTCAGGAGGCTGAGGCAGGAGAGTGGACTGAGCCCAGGAGTTCGAGGCTGTGGTGCACTGTGATCATGCCTGTGAGTAGCCACTGCACTCCAGCCTGGGCAACGTGGTGAGACCCTGTCTCTAGACAAATAGAAATGCTTTTAATAAAGTCCTGTAAGTATCAAATTATCTCCACTTGTGTTTGTATAAAAATGTGTTTATTTTTCTATCATTCCTTAAAGACATATTAAGTATATCAGTTAGTGCAAAAGTAATTGCAGGTTAATGGCAAAAACTGCAATTACGTTTGCACCAACCTAATAGAATGTCATTCTTTTCTCTCCGCATGTTAGATATTATCCAGTTATCTTCTCCTTTCCATTGGTGCCAGTAAGAAGCCATGTCAGCCTTAAGGGTGCTTCTTTGAAGGCAATGTCTTTTCTCTCTGTTAAGAGCTTGTACTTGTCTTTAGTGTTCCCGAGTTTCACCATGATATGTCTAAATATAGACTTCATTTCACCAGGTTGGTATTTGTTAGAGTTTTTGAAACTGTAGATTGGTGGCTTTCACCCACTCTAGAAAACTGTTAGCCATTATTCCAAATGTTACTTTTACTCCATTGTCCCCCTTCTCCTTCTGGAAAACCAGTGAATTGTATGTTATAACTTGTCCACGTCTCTCCATGTCTGAAATCTTCTCTTGCATAGTTTATATCTCTTTGTCCCTCTGGGCTGTGTTCTGTCTGTCTACTGTGGATTACAGTAAAAACCACAGAAGGAAGGTGAATATGAAAAGAAATGATGAGAAGTACAGAGTAAGAAGGTCTGACATAATATAACTGAGGTTTTCAAAGAAGAGAAAAATAATGCAGCGGAGGTGATATTTGACAAGACAAAAAACATGGAATGTTAGTGGAAGCTGTTCCAGATGATATCAAACAAAAACTCAGATCCACACAGAAAAAAAATCTTATAACAATTAAAGAAACGGAATTCACAGTTGAAAAACTCTCCAACAACAACAACAAAAAAAACTCCAGGCCCAAATTACTTTAATGACAAATTCTAATAAACAATTAAGAAAGATAAAACATGATTTCACACAAACTCCTGAAAACAGAAAAGGAGGAAATCCTTCCCAACTCATTTTATGAGGTCAAATTTATCTTAACAGCAAAACTACACAAAGCCACTTCAAGGAAAGAAAATGACAAACCCAAATCCCCCATGAATATAGATGCACAAATTCTTAACAAAATCCCTTTACTGTAACACATCATAACTAAGTAGGATTTAACTTGGAAACCTTCACTCAACAATCAAAACTCAAAGTAATTTGCCATTATATAGATTAAAAATGAAAAAAATACATTATTTTAATTGATGTAGAAAAAATATGTGACAAAATTCAACTAGCATTCATGATAAAATTTTTCAGCAAATTCCTTAACCTGATAAAAAGCTATCATCATACTTAAGGTGAGAAACCAGATGCTTCCCTCAAGAGCAGAAACAAGACAAAGGTGTCCATTTTCACCATCTCCAATCAACATCCCACCGGGGATCCCAGTAAGTACTGCACGAGAAGTAAAAGAAATAAAGAGCCTATGGGTTAGAATCTGTAAAAAAATAATTAGAGCTACAAAACAAGTTTAGCAAGATTGCAAGATACCAGGTCAATAAATAAAAATCAGTTGTATTTATTATATATATCTTAGCCAAGTAAAACCCAAAATAAAATTAAGAAAACAATTACATTTATAATAGCATGGAAAAGCACATAATACTTAGAAATAAGTTTAACAAAAATGCAAGACTTGCACTGTGAAAACTATAAAACATGTTGAAAGAAATCACAGAAGGGCTAAATAAACATAAAGCCATCTCATGTGCCTGACTGAAAGACTTCATATTGTTGTCATGACAATACTCTCCAAATGTATCTACAGATTCAAGGCAATCACTGTCAGATCTGCCATTATTTATTGAAATGGCAAGCTGATCCTAAAATTCACATGGAATGCAACAATGACAAAAAAAAAGTCAAAATTTCGGAAAAGAAGAACTAAGTTAGAGGACTCACCCTTGTCAATTTCAAAACCTATAAATCTCCAGGATCCAAAACATAGTACTGACTTAAGAATATACATAGACTGGTCAGACACGGTGGCTCATGCCACTTTGGGAGGCCGAGGTGGGCAGATTGCCTGAGCTCAGGAGTTCGAGACCACCCTGGGCAACATGGTGAAACCCCGTCTCTACTAAACTACAAAAAATTAGTCAGGCATGGTGGTGCACGCCTGTAATCCCAGCTACTTGGGAGACTGAGAGGCACAAGAATCAGTTGAGTCCTGGAGGTGGAGGTTGCAGAGAGCCGAGATCATGCCACTGTACCCCAGCTTGAGCTATAGAGTGAGACTCTGTCTTTAAAAAAAAAAAGAATATACATAGACCAATGGGTTAGAATTGAGAATCCAGAAATAAACCCTCCCATCTATGGTTAAATGATTTCTGACTAGAATATTAAGACCATTCCATAGGAAAATAATAATCTTTTAAAATATAAAGTGTTGTAATAACTGAATATCCCCATGCAAAATAATGACTCTGGACCCCTACTTCACACTACAGACAAAAATTAATTGAAAATGGGCCAAAGACCTAAATGTAAGAGCTAAGACTACAAATCTCTTAGAAGAAAACACCAGTGTATATCTCCATAACCTCGGATTAGCCAGCAGTTTCTTAGCTATGACCTTAACTGCACACAACCAAAGAAAAAATAGGTAAAGTGAACTTCACTGAAATTAAAAACTTTTGTTTGTCAAAAGGTACTACCAAGAAAATGAAAAGACAACCTACTAAAAGAAAACTGATAGCCATCTTATCTCTGAAAAGTGTCTAGTATCCAGAATATATATTTTTAAAAAACCTACAACTCAACAATAAAAAGAACAAACAATTTAAAAGTGGGCAAAAATGTGAATAGACATTTTTCCAAAGAAGATATACGAATGGTCAATAAGCACAAGAAAAGATGTTCCACATCACTAGTTACCTGGGGAATGCTAATCAATACTACAGCACTATACTACTTCATAAAGAAATAGAAGATGGGTGTTGACAAGGATGTGTGGAAACTGGAACACTCACACAGGTGGGTGGGAATGTCAAACGGGACAGCATCTGTGAAAAACCACTTGGCATCTTCTCAAAAAGGTAAACACAGAGTTAAAATATGACACTACAATTCTACTTCTACATATAAACTCAAGCTAAGTTAAAATATATGTCCATATAAAAAACTTGTATAGGAATGTTTGTAGAAGCATTATTCATAATGGCCAAAAAGTGTAAAAAAATTACATACCCATCAACTATAATGGATAAACCAAATGTGGTCCATCCATACAATGGAATATTATTCAGCCATAAAAAGGAATAAAGTACTAACACATACCACAACATGGATAAACTTTGAAAATATGCTGAGTGAAAGAAACCAGACACCAAAAGCCACATGTTGTATGATTCCATGAATACAAAACTTCAGAGCAGGCAAATCCATAGGAACAGAAAGGAGGAAGGAGCGGGAGTGACTACTCCCGGGGTTGTTTTACCGGTGGTGATGGTGATAATAGCTGCACACACTAGTGAATGTCCTAAAAACCACTGAAGTCTATGGTGTGTGAATTATATCTTAATACAAACAAGATAACATGGAAATAAAAGTTTTACAAACATGCAAATTCTCCCCAAATTGTTCTGCGGACCCAACACTATCTCAATCAAAATCTCAGGGGTCTTTTTTTGTAGAAATTGACAGCTGATTCTAAAATTTATATTTTAGAATCAAAGCAAAGGACTTTATAGGAAAAACAATTTTGAAAAAGACCTACATTAGAGGACTCATTGTACCTGATTTAAAGACTTAGTATAAAACTATATAAACAGAACACTTTGGTGCCAGTGAGAAGACAGGAATGGAGTGCAGTGGACTGGAATACAGAGTCCGGACAGATGCCAGCACAGATGGCTGCCTGGTGAAAGAGCAAAGATGACCAATGAAGAAAATAACAGATTTCTGAACAAACAATTCTCAAAGAAATGTACGTCCCTGGGGGAAAATGAACCTCAACTCTAATCTTGCACTATATATTTTTAAACTGGCTCAAAATGATGGGGGGTGGAGAACAGATCAGAGACCTAATTAAAAGACCTAAAACTATATAATTTCTAGGAGAAAACAGGAGATAATCTTTATGACCTTGGGAATGTGCAGAATTCTTAGGACACAGGGAATACAAACCATAAAAGACAAAAATTGACAAATTGTACTTTACTAAGATTAAACACTTCTGTTTCTTTAAAGAAATCAAGAAAGTAAAAATTCAGGGCACACTTTAGGATCAAACATTTGGAAAATACATATCTGATAAATGGCTGGTATTCATAGTATATAATAAACCCTCACAAATCAACAATAAGAAAACAAACAGTACACAATGTTTTAATTTTAACGGGCAAAATGTATGAACAGACACTTCACCACAGAAGACATACAGATGGCAAACAAGCATGGGAGGAAGGTTCCGTATCACACGTCACCAGGAAAATGCAAATTAAAACTATAATGTGATACCACTACATGCCCACTAGAAAGGAGAAAATTTTAAAAGCTGACAACACCGAATGCTGACCATTTATTTCACAAGCAACAGGAACTCTCATGCACTGCTTGTGGGAATGTACACTGACTGGTGCAGCAACTTGGGACAATGCATTCGTTGGGAGTTTCTTACAAAATTAAACACAGACTTACCATATGATCTAGAAAAGCCCACTCCTATGTATTTACCTATGAAAAACGAAAACATACATCCACATAAAGACCAGTACAAGAAAGTTTATAGCAGATTTATTCATAATCTCTAAAACTGTAAATCTCCAACTTTCTATCAATAGGTGAATGGATGTATAAATTGTGGCATATTTATCAAAAATTACTCAGCAACAGTATGAATGCATCTCAAAAGTATCATGGGCAAGGGATAAAGCAGAATCAGAACGTCACATACCGTATGATTCCACATTCTGAGAAAGGCAGAGCTGCAGTTAAACAAATCAGCGATTGTCAGGGGCTTCAGGGGAAGGGTCAGGAGGGAACTTTGAGCTGGTGAAAATATTCTATATATAATATGATTGTGTTGACAGCTAATATCTGCATATATTTGTCGAAACTCATAAAACTGTATCCTTAAAAGGGTGAATTTTATACTATGTAAATTATATCTCAATATACTTGATGTTAAACAAGATACCAAGAACAATCCCAAGCAAGATAAATACAAGAAATCTACACTTAAATGCACCGTAGTAAAATTGTAAAACACCAAAGACATACAGATCTTAAAAGTAACCAGAATTTTCAAAGAAATTCCTTGAACTGAGTATTATTTAAATTGAAAGATGGCTTCTCAACAGCAATGGAAGCCAAAGACGGTAGAATACAATCTCTTCCATACTCTAAGAAAATAATCTTCCACCCAGAACTTCAACCCAGAGGAGCAGGAGTTAGTATTAGTTTCTCCATTACTAGATTTTCAAACTCTCTACTAAACTCTAATGTGGGATACACAGGCAATTACCATTTAAGTCTTTATGTGGCTGTGAGAAGATACAAGGTGTCATGCTAAATTTAAAACTCATGAATATTTTCTAGCTATTTTCTAGCTATGTCAACAAGGAATATTTTTTAAATGCTGCTGAAAATCTGAGATAATTTCTGGTGGGTCACAAATAGAAACACCAGCAGATTTGGGTAAGTTAGCAGGCCTAATTTAAACAACCACGGCAAAAGAAACAAGCCACTGACATTAATCACCAAAATAAAAAAAACTGTACTGGCAAAGATACAACAAATAAGTCAATACCTTAGATTTCCAGGACACAATTTAAAAGTTTTCTTGGTTTTTCAGCATCAATTTTTTACTGGGTACTTGAACTATTCTTATCATAACCATTTTCATTATGATAATATTATATATATGTTGAACAAAGACTCATCACTACTCCTAAACTTGTAGTCCAAGCTTTTTCTATGCCACATGCCAATATTTTTCTATGAAAATTTAATTTTGGGAAGAAGTCTTGGGTAAAACAATTTCAGAATGACTTAATAAGTAAAATACATTTTACTTATTAAAAATTAAAAATAAAATACAGGTTTTGAAAAAAAGAAGGTAGAAGGTTTCAGTTAAAAATATTTTTTTAACCACATTCTCACCACGATGCATTTTAGAAGAAGCATTATCTGTGGTACAAGTGGCAACAAACAGTAATGAATGTTGTGAGATATGAGTAAATCTAAACAGGCACCAATGTATAAAATGTTAGAGAAGGCTGCACGATATTAAAAAATACAACAGTTGAGAATGAAAATGCCATTCAAGTCAGGAGAGAATCATCAGAAGTGAACACTGTGAGATTCCTGCATTCTCTGGAATGTGGACAGAGTACTGACTAATTCTGGACCTTGATAAATTAAGCCTACATATAAGACAAACACAAACAATAAGAGAAATTGAAATTATACAGTGAAGGAGAAAACTGATGAGTAAAACAGTCATCTGTAAACCAAAAGAAGGGAAGAAAGAAAAAATAAGACAGTTGAGCTAAATAGAAAGTCCAAAATAAAGTGGTAGAATGCAGTCCAAATTACAAGTAATTAAAATAAATGAAAGTAAAGTAAATGTTCTAGTCTTTAAAAGGCAAAGATTGTCAGGAAGGATAAAACAAAAATCCATTACATCCCATTTTAAAAGATTCACTAAAACATAACTCAGATACAGAGATACTGAGAAAAGGGGAAAGAAAAATATATACTAGGCAAATACATCAGACAAAGTTTCTTTAAAACAAGAAGCACTAGCAGAGATAGACTACCTTACATAAAGATTAAAAAGTTCAATTTATCAGCAAGATACTACAACAATTCTAAACTTACATAGACCTAAGAGCAAAAATGAACAGAAATATAAGAAAATAGGCAAATCAATTAATCCAATCATACCAGCATATGTGAACACAACTGTCATAGTGGCTGATGTATCAGTTGGAGAAACATTTTTCTTTTTTTTTATTTTTTGGAGACGGGGTCTTGCTCTGTCACCCAGGCTGTCATGCAGTGGTACGATCATAGCTCACTACAGCCTCGACCCTCCTGGGCTCAAGGATCTTCTTGAGCTCTTGAGCAGCTAGGACTACAGGTGCACACCACCATGCTCAGCTAATTTTTTTTTTTTTTTTTTTTTTTTAAATTTTTGGAGAGACAGGGTTGCTATGTTGCCTAGGTTTGTCTCGAACTCCTGGCCTCAAGCAACCCTCTCACCTTCAGCCTCCCAAAATGCTGAGATTACAGGAGGGTGCCACAGAGAAAAATATCTATGAGGACAGAAAAGACAAGATTATTAAGCTTCACTTAATGGCCATACACAGAAAGCGTATATTCAAAATTGTAGAATAGATTCCACTCTCAGATACACAGGCCATTTATGATACGTGACCATATGGGAGCTGCCCTTTGACTACAAACACAAAGATCACCTGGTCCACAATGCAGTGAACTTAGAAACTAAAACACTTAAAATTATTTATATATAAATGTATATTTTTACATGGATTTTAAAGCTCTGTGTATTTGGAATTGAGAAATACTTCTAAGTAACTCATAAGCCAAAAAAGGAGTCACAGTAGAAACAAAATAACATTTATAAGTTAACGATAATAAAAGTACTATATATCTAAATCTATGCACTGCAACATACTTTGAGGGAAACGTACAACTTTAAATGCTTATCTACATTTTTAAAAAGCTGAATATCAATGAGCAAACATCCAATATAAATTTGAAAAAGAACAGAAACATGAACTGGAAAAAAACAAAAGGAAGAAATAAAAACATAAATTAATGAAGCAGAAAAACATCCCATAGAAAAAAATCAACAATTGAAAAATTCATGAAAATAAATAAAAAATTAAACTACACAAGTACTAGAATAAAACATGAGTGATTTCCTCTTTAATCTGGGTGTAGAAAAGGCTTTCTAATTGTGAATTAAAAATCTAGATAAAAGACAGATAAATTTGACTATAAAAATTAAAAAATCCTTGGCACAGCAAAATGACATGAAAAAATTTGACAGAAATACTAAATGGAAGAAAATATTTGCAATATATTCCACAGTAAAATAAATAATATCCCTAAGATACCAATAAATAAATAAATGTTTAAATTGAGGGGACAAAAAAGACCAAAAACTGTGTAGAAAAATGTATAAAATACATGAAAAGAGACATAAAAATGTCCTTAAACATATGAAAAGATGTTCTACTTCACTCACAAGAAGAGAAATGCAGATTAAAACTACACTGAGCTACACTGTTCAGGCATCACTTTGGCAAAAATTCAAGAGCTGAAGAACAGACCCCATGGTGTGGCTGTGGGTGGTGAGGGCGGTGGCCACCCCTTGACGGGGATTTGCAACTGTCTAACTGAAGTAGGAGCACTGAGCACTGCCACCGAACCCAACTATCACACCGCTAAGGCCTTTCCAGGAGATACAGTCACACAAATGCAAATGCACAAGGCTATTCACCACTGCACTGTGTGTAACTGCAAAATATCATAAACTACGTCATCATCCCACCATCACGAAACCCAAATGAGGATGCAGCACTGGGCAGCAGAGGAAGCAAAAGGAAGAATGAGGACGATCACTCCGCCCTGGTACGGGGCGACTCCAGGGATGCTGTTTAATAGAAAACACAAAGTACAAAAAGGGAGATGTATGGTGGCATGGCACTGTGAATGTAATTAATGCCACTGAATTATACACTTAAAAACAGCTAAAATAGCAAATGTAATGTTATATTCATTTACAATAAAAATAGTAAAAAGAGAACATACGTAGCAAGATACATTATGTACATTTTAGGTGAGAAAGAAGAGAAACAGAAAACATACATATGGAGGGCTAATTGTAAAAATGTGTTTGCCTAGAGGTATGCCAGCAAACGTTTAACAAACAGCTCCTGGGGTGGGAGGGAGGACCCGGCCTGTAGTGTTTGCCAGTTTCCTTCCATGTGCAAACCCTCCCACTGTGGGCGATTGCCAACCTACTGCCATAATGTCACTAAACACAGAACAGGGAAGAGATGTGCAGCTCCAGGAGCTGGTGAGAGACCACCTTGGAACATCACTGTCATGTACAAGGCGTGGGGATAACAGGAAGAGAAAGGACATTGTGGGACTCGTCTGTTTTATACACGCAGATAAATGCATGTATATGTGCATATACACACACACACACACTTACATGCATGTATATTTACACAGAGGTGTGTATGTGTACATGCACGTACTTCCCAGCTCTGAACCCTAACAGTGTTAGAAGCAAAGACACCTGACAGCAATAAGCCTATCTCGTACCCAGATATTGTTCCTTGGTAACATTTTCACACTACAAAAACTAGAGCCCTTCAAACATCTATCTGGTGGACTCCAGGGCTGGGTAGGTTAGGTACAAGATGGACCTGAAACATTATATGGAAAAGTTAGGAAACTGTTTCTTTAAATGAGGCAGATGGTAGCAGGAAGAGAAAGGAAGCTGGGAACTAAAGAGGGAAGGAACCGGGAACTGGTCTGGTGGGCTCCCACTGATCAAATCTAGGAGAATTTGAGCACAAAATCCTCAAGGACAGTGATGAATGAGACACTAGGACAGCGGTGAATTAAGACACAGGAGTCCAGGACAAGAAGTTGGTAAGAGATGAACAGATAAGCAAATGGGGAAGAAG